CAGCTGCACCTGCGAGGCGCGGCACCAAAGAGCGAGACATACGCAACGATCGTGCGAACTAGTAAGGCGTGCCATTCTGTGCATACAGTCGCAGAGTAGGCAGCCTCGTAAAACCATCTGCCTTCTTGTGAATTCCCGAACGTTAGAGCCGCCCAAGCAGCCTGTGACGTGCGCTGTGTGGTACACAGCGACATGTGCCGTGGCTACTGTACTCGGTACACACGGCACCTCACTGTACATTATGCATTGTAGGATACGGAGAGGGTTGCAATTAAGAAACGCGTGGACGACCTGCCGCCTGGTTTTTGATGTGCAAAACACTGTACTGTTGTGACAAATCCTGATCCCGACATCGTAGGCGAGCGGGTAGAAGGACAAGTGGTTGCAGTTGATAGGGTCCTACTCTACAAACACGGTGGGGGAGCACAAATGCCCGGAGACTGCCAGTCTCCTAAATGTAAGTCTTTTGTTGGTCTGTCAGGTCACTACCCTTTTTCCCTTCTACCCTAGGGTCAACCATCAACTATATATAGAGTCTCTGGACTCTCTCCCTCCGCGCTCAGGTCAGCCTGCGGGCATCGTGCTTCTACCGTCAAGCACGGTTATGCTCACTTCGAGCTTTTAGCATTTAATTACCCATCCTGGTAATAAATATAGAACTGCGCTTGTATTCCTCCTGAATGCAAGCGCCTTCTCCAATACACATTATCAATCATCGATCCATACATGCATTCCTTCCGAATGCAAGTACCCCGATGAGTACAGTCAGATTCTAGTGCAACTTACACGTCTGATCCTGAGCTGTTCTTTACTGTGTGCGTCTCACGCCTCTTGACATCCCGTGGCTGTAATGAATATGTACAGCTCGAAAGGTGTTCATTCACAACTGTACTGTATACGAATGGCACACGTCGCCGACGGGTCACGCTCGTGGATTGAGCTGTAATGCAGTGTTTGGGAGAAGTCTATTTTGCCGTTGTTGGTGGGCGTTCATTGGCAGAGGGCCCAGAAGGGCCGCAATCGTGCATGTGAATTTGCGCGGCTTCGTGCTCCCCCACCCAGTTGAGTCCTTTTGGCGAGGCCACCTTGTCCGTCTGACCCTGCCCCCATCCCCCTCCCCGCCCCAAGTCGGTGAGTAGAACAACCTTACAAGATGAAGCGTTACACTTGGAGAATACTGGTTCCTCCTCCGGGCTTTTTCATCTAATGTAGCTTTCGTTCAATATTGAGTGTTTGTGTGCGGTATTGAAGCACGTTCATCTGCGGAGAACCTTACATAATACGTCGAAACTGCGTTTCTTTGCTCTTGCCATCTTTAGACTACGCAATCCTTCCCGCTCCCTCATAGTGATATGTACGTACCCGTATGCTACACAATCAAAGTCCAGGGCTCCAGCAAACACGGCTACGGGAGAAAACACGTTTCCACTTTGCAGCGGGTTGCTTTGTTCGAACTTTGAAAAGAGGACCGACTTGATGTGACTTCGTCGCGCTTTCGTTTTAATTTTCGACAGAAACATTGCGAAAGAACCAACGGATGAAACTTGACCAACCCTCCCGGTGTGCGGAAATCATGTCAACACCTGTAGAGGCTTGCAATCAGAACTGCTCTCCCAGAGCGATACTGTAAGTCCGGGCCATTTTTTCAACTTTCCTCGGAAACTCTTAAGTCCATCGCATCTCCTTCAAAAATTCTTCTCATACTGTATCTCTGTTCCACGCAGATCCACACCAATCTGCAAGTGCCGGCCCAGAGTTCCCCCCTCTCGTCTAATCACCAGGCTTTCGAACGTCCACAATGTGTGCCTATGCCGAACTGCTGTCCCCCCAGCACATCTAATAATCTTCCAAGGGCCATCTCACATTTACCTACTCGACAATCCTGCCATTTGTCGCTCTGCCCAGTCTCTCTCTATCTTCGTCCGACAATTTTGTATCCAGTCCTGCCTTCTCCAATAAATCCAGCTGTTCCCTCACAACACTCTGATCATACTCTGTCAACATTCTCGTATACATCGCTGCTGTAAAGCCTCCATCATTCCGATGCCCAACATCCGCCCCCTTGTCCAACAAGTACCTGACCATTTTCGTCCTTGCTCTGGCGCACGCCGCCAACAACGGAATCTGGTTCTGCTTCTCTGTCCACTTGACATTAACATCCACACCTCCGTCCCCTAAGCACCAAATAAACTTGTCCCAATCATCGTACCGAATTGCCGTCAACAAATCCAAACTCGCGTCGCCCACATACTTCGCCTGCATAAATGCCAGCGGTGCTACAAATGCCGGCTGCGCCCAGCTCTTCACGACGGCCGACGCCAAGAACGATATGCTCCCCGCCACAGCCGCAACAACTGCAATCTGATCCCCACCCCTAGTCACACGCAACTCCCCCCCCACCCCACCCAGCACACTCCACTCCGTTCCCGTCTCCTTCGCACCAACGGCTGGCCCGCCGTACGCAATGACCCCTTCCTCCGCCTCGCCGATCCCGCGTCTCGCCGATTCATCGCCAGCCCCGACCGAGCTGTGCGCAAACACCAAAAAAGTGAGCTCCTCGCCCTCCCCCAGCGCGCTGACCGCGTTCACAGTTGCCTCCTTGGCCGCAGCCTCCATGGCAGTCGGCTCGCTCCCGTCGCTACTCACCTCCGCGCTCGCCGAATGAAAGCCGACGGGCGAATCCCCTTGTAGCAGTAGCACCTCGACCGTACCGGCGGCGTCCTTCTTATTCACAGACCTCCCCACGACGGGTACGCCAGGCAATAGTTTGTCGACTTGCTGTGCGACTGTGTCCGCGTCAACATCAGGCGAGTAGGTGACATGGGCAAACGAAGGGGGCTTGGTTTGCAGTCCGTCGAGGGCGGTGGTGATAGCGGCGGCCGCTGTTTGGGCGGCATCCTCGGCGTGCTTGTGCAGCAGGGCGCGGCCGGTGGAGAAATTGATTGGGGGGCCGGTGGCGCCGACATTGCGGCGAGATTTGTCAAAGAAAACGTCGAGCTCGGGGGGCCCGTCGTTGTGGGGGGACTGGATCATACATGGTGTGGGATGGGGAGCGGTACGTGGCAAGGGGGTACGCTGGTGGAGTTGATGTCGGGGGGTGGAGAGCGTATACGAGAGGAAGGAAGAGCGGAATAGGGTGGGGAGGATGAAGTTGGGAGTGGGAGCCATGGTGGGGCGGGAGGTCTGATTGCGGACGGAATGGTAATGGGAGCGGAAGGGAACGGGGAGAGATGGTTAATGTCGGTTGCGGACGGAAAGGGAGCAGGGTTGTTCTCGATGAGATTGGATGTGATAGGGTTAAGGGGTGCCGGAGATCAAGAACGATCGGATCCCACTCGGGAGCATTACAGCTCAAAAATCGGTCAGCGATCAGTAAGCCTCCTGCGGCACAGAAGCACTGACCGACGTCCACGGACTTGATCCCCACATCAAGTTGCAATGACCACGCATCCGCCCCACAGCTACGGGACTGGGTCTCGAATCGAGACTCCCGATATTCCAACACGCTACGGCAGTTAGCAGGACGGCTGTTGAAAGGCTCTGGCAGCCGGAGTGAAAATTGGCCGTTAGAACCAAAAGGCATCCTCGCTCAGATGCGGAGCACTTTCCTGGAGTCACAGGCCCCCATTTTCCGCCCTCAAACGCCACCCTGTCCCTGCCATACGGCGGGCCTTATCGCAGAGAGTGCACAAAGAGCAACCAGCAAGGCCAAGCCACAGACGCCCAAGCCGGGTAAGAACGCGACCTGCGTAGTTTAGAATAACGCGCAATTGGGTGCATCCAGGAAATACAATTCCGCCACTTCGCCACTTCTCACCCAATCAGAGGTCGTGAAAAGTGGCGAATGTTCGCCACTCCACTTTTCTACTCTGCCACTTGCAGTATGCATCGTACTCGCGACGCTGCTGTTGCTCTTGCCGCGTCTACAGCGGCATTTGCGGCAACTCTGGTCACTATAGAAATCCTCAAGCAACCTCGCTGCAAACAGAGGTCCCGAAAAACGCCAAAATACAAACGCCCCGCCCTTCTGCGTCCGTGTCACGTGCAAAATAATCTACAGACGCCATGGAACGCAATTCTATCTTGCGGCAGTGACGACGACTTTTTAGTCTCCCTTAACTTTACCAAAGAACTAGTCCTTGACACACTTGTACCACTATTTGAACTAGAGCGTAAGGCCTGTCTCCACAGAAGGGGGAGGTAGAGGAGGATTCGACAGGAGGGTCGGCAGAGGGGGGGTTGGTGGAGGGGGGGTCGGTAGAGGGATCGGTTCCATGGCAGGCAGAGGCAGGTGGAGGAAAAGAAGGGGTTTCTAAAGATTGCAGTCGGATTGGTGTTGGTGAGTTGTGGATGGTGGAGTTGGGAGTTGATCAGGGCAAGTTGGGATTCCCAACTGAGAGGGTAAGTGCTCGCCAAAACAGAAGTGGCGAAGTGGCGAAGTGGCGAAAAAATAAATCATCCCTATTTTTGAAGCTCTATCATAAAGTAGCAAAGTGGCGGAATTTCATTTCCTGGATGCATCCATTACAGTACAAGCCAGTCTACAGTATCAACGATTCGTTGTTCGTTCTACGCGCGTCTTGTCCTGTGACTTAGTCCACATCTTCTTTTCATTGGTGACCGCTGCTGTACAGCGCGAAACCCGCCGGCAGTACACGTTTGTGTGTCATCGTCAAATGAATTCAAAGCTATCCTTTTCCCGCTTTTTTGACGCAACAGAGATGCCCTCACATGGGCAACTTGCTTCCTGACACTGCACCACGCCATATCCCTAAGTCACCCCCGCCATTCTCAAACTAGTAGGACGGCGGCGTCGCTGGAATGCCCCGTCGAGCTAAAGACAACCCAAAGACAACCGGTAGTGATGCGACGCACAGCACGTCTCTGGCGATCGCCGTGAATATTTATCTATGGTTTCATACTCTACACTCAAATGCACACGACTGCATCGTCATTCATTTACTCATCTGGACATGTCATCGACGCACTACTCATCGCATCGAACCATCCAAAAGATTCTCCTCGCTTCTTGAGTACGCTACCCACTAAACAAACAAAACAAATGAAACTTCTTTGCAGCTACAGTAGACTGCAGTCGCACTAAGGAACCAAAGCCAAAACTTACAGAATCCGTGAACCAAAACCCCTGCTGCGGTCTATCCGCATCATGTGCCCACCACAAGCGACGAAGAGCATCGTATCTCCTATCCTACCCTCATCAATCTGTAATACATCTGACAATACGATGCAAACAAAGTACATTCACCAACTCCCTTGAGCTTAATATCCTGCGGTATGCGCAGCAAGCTGCTTGGCAATGACGTCATACTCGAGGTCCTCGGCATCCGTGCACTGCAGCTGACGCTGAATGCCCTCGAACTTGTTCACGACTCCCTCCTGCGAAGAAGCATAGATCATCTTGGACTTCACCTTTGAATACTCTGGAGACCAAAGCACAAACAACACGCGCTGCTTAGTGGCGCCCTGATGAACGTACGAGAAATCGTACACAATGTATCGGCAGTCTTTTTCGGGAAGATCCTTAGTGAATGAGTCCCAGTCAGCCTTCGGGGAGGCGTCACTCGGGTCATACGTCTTTTCCAGCTCGACCAAAGACATGTCATCGCTAATCCTGAAAACAGCCCCGCGGAACTTGCGGCCTTTGACGAGGGCCTGGATAGCATCTACGCACTTGGCGTCCACCTGCACGCCGGAAGCCATGATTTCTTCGTGCTTTGGATGTTGTGGAAGTGGAAAATGGTTCGCTGGTTCAGCGATTTATGAAGAGGATGGAGAAGGTGAGTAGTTTGGGTGTGAGGGGAGCGTCGGTCCTATGGAGAAAGGTGCAGTAAAAAGGGGATTTGGTTTAAATAGGAACGAAGGGACGGCAGGAGAGGGCACCGAAGAGCGGCATTTTCAGGCAACCGGTCGGGGCATCTCTCTGGAAATGCCAAGCAATCTTCTCAACCCATCTGAATTCTTTGTCAGAGTCTCCTACGCAACCCTCTCCAGGAAATGCTCAAAACATTTTTCTCTGTAAAGGTTCACATGTTGACCTGATGTCATGCCATTCCGATGCACTGTAATGAAATGGGCACGTAACCACGACAGAGGCTTACACAAACTTTTAGAATCCGCTCCAGATCCCCCCAAAGACTCTCCCAAAGACTCTTTTGATATTTTACCGGTTGCCAGAGGGTCCCTTTCTCACTGCTACAGTATGCATCCCTTGAACAAAAATATTACATTACAGTTCACAAAAACAGAAAGACTCAAGCATACTGTAATTCCAAATGAACATCCTCTGAGTCTTCAACACACTTACCTGCTGCCTTTCATTCTCACTTGATGCTCAGCGGTTGTTGGTGACATCACCAACTGCTAACGGTTTTGGACGCGCTTCCAGCAAATACAGTCGCAATCAGCGTGCATTACTGACGTACACATCCGTCTTAGATCATCAGTGTCCACGAGTCTGGGGAGCACGCAGCTCTCACTGCAAGTCCCTTTTCGTCTTTTCCATTTTTATACATTCTATTTGCCATTACTGAGCAACGCAAGGATTATTGCCTCCGACTTCTGCCTCATGTCTTAAATGAACTCCCGTGGGGCATTTTTTGAATGTCTCAAGACGTGGTACAACGACTACCGATAATAAACATACATGCAAGCATCCCTCACTAAACAACCCTGCCGCCATCGTATTTGCAGTCCCGCAAGATGCTAAATTCCCATGAGTTCTTGTCTTCTTAATTTACATTGGGGTGTTTCAAGCTTTAAAAGATTGCTGAGTGAAGTCTCCCAGATTGTCAGTTAAAAGATAGGCGTTGCAATGGTTCAAGTCAGGTATCAACGGACAGGTACCACCTTTGCTCTCTCTCTTTAAAACCGCGATCTGTGTCATGAATACATCCATTCACAATTCTCTCAGCGCAACGGTGGAGACTCTAACATGATCTCGTTACTCACCATGAAACTGTAACGCACTTCGCTAAAGTCAGTTTCGGGCCTTTCACATGCACTGTTCTACTAGCACCCATCAAAAGACGCAGCTGCTGTAGCGTTCAGTCGCAGAACAAACATCATGATGGAATAATCGTCCCCCTTTCGAAAAGACCATGCAATGCCTACTTGGTTCTCCAGCTGCTGCGCGCTGGCTTTGTGCTTTTCCCATTAAGGAATGGGATTGCGATTTCGCGCTCATCTCCCGTGTGCGTGCGCCACGACGCCACACACACCCGGGCTGGTCGAAGTGAAAGCAGCACTGCGCAGGTAGCCGCCGTGGCAAGATTGCAAATCGGAATCCGTGAGATACGAGTGCCCGGTACGGCAGCACAGCGATAATTCATCTTTAGAAACGTGTTCACGTGTTCAGATATGCAACAATTATCTGATGTGCCGCCTGCATCGCCAACCGCCATCTGCAACAGGTGGTCGCAAGGCGACTTGAAAAAAATCTCACCTCCCCCAATCACATCGCGTGAAAGGGGTGCGGTCTGCAAAAGTTCAAAAGTTCCACAACTCGGCCGCCAGGAGCTCTCACCTAGCTTTGCTGCCCTGCACACAAGTACAAGAGTCTAGGAACGCGCCCTAGCGAGTTCAGCCTCGCGCATCTCAAGTTCCCGTCCATCCTACACACACACCCCACCCCAGCCAACTCCTCCACCTCAACACCGAGTTCGATTGCCTATCTCTTCCACTTCGTCAACCGCCATCCCTCTTTCCCCGCCATGACGATCACTGGCCCCATCCCCGGCTCTTCCTCCCTCGCCTTTGCCCTTTCCGTCCCCGTGCGCCCTGCTGTCGCACATCACCGCTCCTGCCGTTTACGCCGCACCGCACGCCCGCGCGCCACCCCTGTCATGACTTTGCAGCCGCAGGACTGTTCATGGCGTGAGGAGCAGGACCGCCGCGCCATCGAGAGCGAGTTTCTCATTCCCGCTTGCGTCGGCGGTGAGGTCGACGACGACATGGCCATGCTACGTGAACGCATCCAAATGCTGGGAAAGAAGGAGAGTCAATGGTCCGACATCGTCCACCAATTCACATCCATGTCCATTCTCACGGGCATTCCCTTCATCGACGCCGAGACGGGAGAGCCAACAGCCAAGGCGTGGGTGTTTTTGTCGCTGTCAGCTGCAGTGCCACTTTACATAGCCTGTTTGGCCGCACATTGGCTGCAGTCGACTAGTATACAGTTTTCGCAGTTGTTGTAGGTTGGAGCTCTTCGGTTTTGTAATACGTATCAGGGATATATAAATTGCTTCGCTGCTCTGTCAAACGGCTTCGTATCTTTATGTGTCTCTGCCGTGTCGTCAGAAAGATTTAAAATGAGATGATGCCGTTTACTCAGTGCCCAAGTGCCACGACCGCAAGCATAGAGTATGAATGAATCATTGATGCCATTCACGACGGCTTGTGAACATGGTGGAGAGCACAAAGAGTCTATACGTCCTGCTACCAGTCCTGCCAGAAAGTGCTTCAGTCAGCAAGGAACATTCTTCATTCATGTTTTTTCATCTCCTCAGTCGGGGGCCATCAAGGCACACACTCCTTAGCGCGCCTACGAAACAGAAAAACCTCGGATCATATTGAGCAGAACTTAATCAGAGGCACACTGTCCTTAGCGCGCCTACGAAACAGAAAAACCTCGGATCATATTGAGCAGAACTTATTCAGAGGCACACTGTCCTTAGCGCGTCTACGAAACAGAAAAACCTCGGATCTTATTGAGCAGAACTTATTCAGAGGACTGCAGTGCCACTCCACCACAGAAGCGCTTGTTCAACATATTTCTGTGGCATTGGTGCTACCGCAACCCTATCTCAATCAAGAAAGTCATATTGACGTTTGAGGTTGACAAGATGGAAACAGCTGAATAGACGTTCTGCGTATGATTGATCGGTACTGTTTGCGTTTGCTTATGGAGGATCTGCTACGCAGGGTTGACGCAAGAAACACTCTTACAACGACGGCGGGCTCAGCTTTATCTTAAATCTCAAGATACGGCTGCGATAAAAAGTGTAAGATAAGCGTCAACACAAAAGACTGAAGTCTTGACAGACCGGCAGCCCATCTGCCTGTTCCCCTTTGAAGGAAAACAACGCTTCGAGCATCTCTCGTGACGCTCACGACATGAGAAGAAGGTATAAGACCGGGGATCGGCTGTTCATACCTCTCCCTCCTGATGTTTTCCATAATACCCGACGGTGCGAGCCGGATTAACCAGCTCCCTCCCATATACGATATACCAAGCCATATGTCTAAAATAGCCCCTAAGCAACGCCGCCTCCTCACCTACAATGGCGACATCGTCAATGGCGGCTTCCATTAGAGCCAGCCATCTCTCCGCCTCTCTCTTTCCAATAGCATACGGCCCGTGCCTCCCGAGGAGCATAGTGGGGCCCTTGCGCTCCTCGTACAACCTCGGGCCGCCGAACTCTTGCGCGTGGAACTCGACCTGATTGCGCGTTGCGGCAGCGCGCGAGGTGCTGGCGAAAAGCGCGCGGAACCACGGCTCGTCCGAGTACACCCGCTCGTAGAACGCGGCCGAAAGCGAGGCCAGCTTCTCAGGGCCAATGCGCACGTACAGCCCGGCCGCGCGCGCGTCCTCCACAGCGCTGAACGGCACTGACGACATAGCCGTGGCTTGCGCGTGCAGAGAGGATTTTCCGGCCATCTCGAGCGGCGGGGGAAAGGGATGTCTGACGGTTGGTGGGGGCGGGGGGATGCCACAGCGGGTAACACGAATTGTTAAAAGGTATTACGTGGAGGGCGCGTTTTGCGGTGTGCCGCTGGCGGCAGCGGGGACGCGCACGATGAATGCGGGTGTGGCGCATGCGGCACGCGTTCCTGGCGGACAGGCGTTATGGCGGACAAGTCGCGGCGTGTTGAGGCGTGCGCGTAGTCACCGCGGCGAGAGGCGATGAGGCGGTGCCGGCGTGGCTGGGCATGCACGGCCAGCAGAGGGGGCAGTTGTGGGAGCCGCGTGTCCAGCGCGGCGGAATCTTCCACGGCTGTCCCGAGACGGGCCGTGCAGGCGTTGTATATTCGCGCGCGAAGCACTGTACGACCGGCCGCATTATCGGCTTGCGCGGGCGTTGCGCATGGCGCCGCCCAAGATACAAGCGCGTTGGCGACGACGGGCGCCGCCGCCGGTGCGCTTTGCTATGGCAGCCGTGGCGCGCGGCGCGCAGGCGCCGATGACAGGACGCGCATGCGCGCGTGCTCTCGCAAAGGTCGCCGCGCGCGTGGCCGCGGCTCTGCGGCGCCGGGCGGCGGGTGCGCGAGGGGGCGGCAGGGAGCACGAGGGGGAAGGGCGCGGCCGCTGGCGATGCGGCACGATACGCGACAGGATACAGGTAGGATACGAAGAGTAATAACAGGATACAGGTAGGATACGAAGAGTAATAATAGGATGGCTGAAGAAAATGAATTGACGAAGGTCGGTCCTTAATAAAGCGGCGGTATTTAAGCTTCGTTCTCAAAGGTCACAGTTGCCACCCGCGATCAAACCGCAACGCCAATCTCACTCCAACCTCACGCCATCTCCGGATGCGTGAGTCGCCGCGCCCTCTGGCCTCCTTCGGCACCACCGCCCGCCGCTGCTAGCATGGATGGCCGCGCTGCGTCCGGTCGCGCTGCGCCCGCCCGAGGCGCCGCCGCCCTCCGTCTTCCTCGCTGCGGCCCGCGAGCATCCGGACGCGCTGTTCGCCGCCCGCCGCGCCCATCTCGCCCGCGCCCGCCGCCTGCTGCAGCGTGACCTGCTGCGCTGCAAGCTCGCCCGCCTCAGACATGCCGCTGTCACCCCCGCCGTGCGTGTCGACGTCCACTCACCAGATGTCTACACGCTCTCCACCCCCGCGCTCTGTGCCCACATCAACTCCCTCGTCCTCGACCTCTCCCACTTCCTCCGAGACACCGCCCACGCCCTCCCAGCCCCCGCACACCCCCAACTGCCTAACTCCACGCGGCCATGTCCCGCCCCGCGGAACGGCTGCACCCGCACGACCCTCAAGTCACACGCCGCTTATCCGCAAGAGCAGGACACCTGTCACTCCAAACCCACCCCTTCCGCTAACACTCTAACTTTCCGCTCCCTCCTCCCCTCGCGCTCCCTCCCCCCTCCACTTCTCACCAACCTCTACTTCGCCGAGGAGTTTTCCGCCCTCTACCCCTTCGCCGTCGCCCTGCGGCGGTCCTCCATACCACCTTCCTCCACCTCGCTGTGCAAAGCGGTCGCCACCTACCACCGCCATTTATTCCCGCCGCCGCGCCCCGTTCCCGCTTTAGCTCGCCGCGTGGATCGCCCCGCACCCTTGCTGCAAGACAAGGCCCACCCCGTTCCCGCCGTCACTGCTGCTCAGCCCCTCACGCCCGGCCCCGAGACACCCTTCCAGACCCGCACTTACTTCAACGGCATGACGCGCGCTCTCGAGCGGCGCGCCCCGACCGCGCCCTGGGCCGCCCGGCCGCCCGCGCCGAAGCCCGCTGCTGCTTCGCGCCCGCGTGGTGCTGGGTATGCTTACGGCTACGCGAGCTACCGCGTCGACACCCCGGCGCTGGCGGCTATGCCGGCGCTGGCGGCTATGCCGGCGCTGACGCATGCACCGGCGCTGGCGGCCGTGTCGGCGCTGGCGCGCTCTCCGGGGC